TTAGTTCAAGTTTATAAATTTAAAGTTCAGTTCAGGTTCAGGTTCAAAGATCTGCAAAATTTAAAGTTCAGTTCAGGCTCAATTGAACTTGAACCTGAACCTAAATTGAACTGAACTGAACTTTGGAACACTAGTATTGAATACAAAGTAAAGTTTCTAAGTATATAATCTAATTAGAAATTTACTTTGTATTCGATACACATGACGATGCAAACCCAGGTTATACTTGATGTACTCTGACGTACTTTTCAAAGTAGAGTAGCTGTTAAAGTCAAAAAGACCTCTGATAAAAATCCCAACTCTAAAAATTCTGAATCAACTTAAATTCTGTTCCCACCTATGACATTTTTGTTTGATCAAAGAAAAAATATGGGAATAGGTCCACTATCCTAATAGCTCTTAAATATGCTAATGCTACTGTCTTAAATATAATCCTATACTTTTAAACCTTTGAACCCTAGTTCAAATGGTTTCAAACCTGGTTATCTATTGGAATAAATAGACAAGGGACCAATGCACTGCATTATAATATCAATTAGCCATTAAAATATACCCTCAGGAAGGAATTAACAGATCAGTTAGTGATATACAGAGGATCGAATTATAATACAGTACTAGGATACATTTAATCGAGCAGAGCCAACTCTATTTGAATTATGCTTCGCTGTGGTTATTGCGCTTAGGGTTGGCATTACATAATTACATTTTTACATTGCATAAAATTACATTGTAACTTATGAAATTGTAATGTAACTTTATATTAAATAGTGTTTTGTCATATGATAATTGTATTAGCATTACAAAAGTTTTGCCAAGAATAATAATTATCTAACATTATGTTCAGAACTAGGGATTGGAACCGTTTAACCGTTTAAAAATTGCTCCATAGCTCCGAGCGGAATTATGTTTGTTGTGAGCTAGAATTATTTTAATACCGGCCAAATTAAACGGTTAAACGGTTAAACGGTTAAACGATTAAGAAAAATTTTAGGCGGTTCCAATCTCTATTCAGAACTGTAATTTTATACTTATTTTATACAAGATTTATCAAAAGTTTGGCAAAAATTATTCATATGATCAAAATTACATATAATTTTGATTTTTGAAACTTTCGCAAATTTACGTAAAATTATGATAATTTGCCAACCCAATTGCACTATTTCAAGCTCCAGAGCTACTTAACAATGGTGGGTAGAAAGGGCTGATAGAGCCAGCTTTCACTAAGGTAAATGATAGCAACAGAAGAATAACTGAAATATGATTCTTAAATAGCTCTTAACCTGGCTTAAACCTTTTTACTTACTATACACATGCACAACCGTCAATAATTTTTTAAAAAATTACAATTGTTCTGAATATTATTCGTTTTAAGTTTCAACAACCGAATTACAAATTATAGCCCATAAAATATTTCATCTGTAAATCTTTATTCACTACTCTAAGTAATTGCTTAAATTTATATTAAATATTTAAATGTTAATCTAAAAAATTCTTGCTGCATATAAAAAAAGATGATTCGAATTATTGATATTATACAGGAAAATAATAATATAACAATATTAATTTTGAAATATGAAATTTTCATAGTTTTATATATTTACCTGCCTTATAACAAAATTTATTTTTAATTATATTCTTTAGAATATTTCACGGCCTTATTGTTAGTTTTAATCGCCTCTTTTGTGTGGAAATCTTTTTGGTCTGCCTGACAGAATTTACATAATGGATAAATTTGCTTGAACCATTCTTTTAAAGACTAAAGAGGAGGTACCAGATTATCTCTACTTCCACAATAATAGCAAATCGGATAATTTTCTATTTTATGCTTGAGTAGTACAATATTTCAATTGGTGAGTCACAATTAATCTGCGTATGTATGAATATAACTTCTTTTAAGTAATAATCATTAGAAACAATTGATGTACCACAGGAATATGAATATGATTCTAATATTTGTTGATAATCCCGTTGTGCTTCATTAGTTAAAGACTTGTTACTATACACACAATGATGTTTTCAACAATTTTCTAATCATAGATTTTTTTGGAAATTAGGATAAATCTTGAAAGACTCTGAATTCGCCAATGACTGAATATATGTCAGCCTATATTCTTCTGTAGTTTTAATATCATAAACTTGTTGAAAAGTTGTATAATGATTCGCATTATTTAAATTAAAATTGTTAATATATATGTATATATATTTCTAAAGAATAATATAATTTACCTTTTGATGAGATTGGATCTGGAAGAAAGTTCAAATTATAAAACTCATATGATAGAAGATAGATTGGCTTGCAATATAAGCAGGTATAATTATTATATTTTTTTACCTTCAATATATAAATTCAATTAGTATTCAAATGTAAAATATAAATAAAAATATAATTTCACGACTTGCAAAATTCTGTATTCTCTCTTGAAAATTATTGAAGAAAAATTGCTCAATTGTCATGTGATTACTAATTATTTCTGATTTCTTATTGCGCTTTTCAAATTACTGTGATCAGCAAGTTCTACATATTATACCAGGAATCAGAAATCTAAAATAAATACAAATACATGATTGGCTAAAAATTATTTCCAACCAATCACAGATTTTTCTAGTATGAAACTTGAAATTTACTGATCATAGTAATTTGAAAAGCACAATAAAACTATTCCAATATGATAATTTTATACATGCTACGATATCGTAAATTACTAGTAATCACCTAACAATTGAGCAATTTTTGCAAACTACAATAATTTCGATGCTTTAATTTATTGCACTTTTCAAATTATTATGATCAGTAAATTTCAAGTATCATACTGGAAATCAGAAATTTAAAATAAATGCAAATTTGTGATTGGTTAAAAATAATTTTTAGCCAATCATATAGTTTAAATTACTAATTCTCAGTGTAATACGTGGAACTTGCTGCATAGTAATTTGAAAAGCGCAATAATAAAATACAAATTGATTCTATTTTAATTTGTAATTTTAATAATAAATTACTATTGCTATCCATTATATCTATTGTTAATACATGCCTGAAAACTATAAGCACACATTTGGTAATGAGTATCTATAAACTTGACTAATATTGTATAGCGATGTATTTGTGCTTGTGTAGTTTCGTCGATTTTTAATGTTGAATCAATACTAGAAATTGATTAATCAAAAATTAATAATATATTAGACATATATATGAATAAAAGAAAAATTTAAATTAATAACATTTGTGAAATGCGGTGAATAGTTATGGTAATTATAATATTTAAGCAATAAAAATAATAAATGCTATATTCACTTCAAATATCTCTGCAATGGCTTCTTCGTTTGCAAGCGAAAAATATTTAAATTGATTATTTTTCAATCGAAGTCGTTTAGTTTGACTATTTAATATCTCTTTAACACCTGAAATACATTCTTTTAACTCAGATTTTAATTTACTAGATTCTTGTGCTCTTTTGTGTATGTCATCTAGTGTATTTGATATTCTAAATAATAGTTCAGATTCGGAACTTATCAAGTCATACTTCAATGCTACACCTTGAACAGGAAAAATATTCAGAATCAAAATTAGGTGTGTGTTACGCACATAATTTTAAATTATAGTTCGTATGCTGCATGTATTATTAAATTAATCATATAGTGCATATTAAAAATATTGTAAAAAAAAAAAAATTATGTGTACTTTGCATGCATTTTATATATATATATATTTTTTTAGCTGAGCGCATATACGCACATCAAATTTTTTTTTACTGACCTTGAAACCCTAAGTTTAAAGTACTCATAATTCACTCTACGGGATTAGTTCAGCTATGATTGAAAGCAGTATGAACAGCAACAAGCAGATCAAAATTCTCACAAAAAAAAAGATTAAGCAATACAATTTGTACTGAACCATAATTACAATGATGGTCTGGACCTCTGTTAGTGTAAAGACATAGAATCGGTAGAATTACTTGATATGCATATTAAACATTTAATACTTTTAAAAATTCTGCTGAATGTCTAATAGCTGTGTTTGGTTCAAAAACTGTATCTTTATATGACACAAACACTTGTCTATCATAAAATGATCCAGAAATATTATTAGAAATAGATATAAAAAAAATAACTGATGGTGTTAGAGATAATTTTGAGAAATCATGATTGGTGGCAGCCAAAATGCTTTCTTAAGAAACCATAGTGCATCGATTTTTCACACCCGTAAAAACTGCAACATCTTCCCCAATAGGAATTTGTGCTTATCATCAGCAGAGATTAAACAAGTCTACCGGTAGTATTGTATACAAAATTCTCTAAGATATCTAAAAAGTGCAGCACAGTAATGTGCATCTTTGCTACTTTTTCGAAGCATCTGACTTTGTACTTTAAATTTTACACTGAATCGACCAGTATAATACATTGTTTGCGTTGTAGTAGAATTTGTTGGACAAAATTGCAGATGAATCCATTCATCTGATGAAATATTAATATTAGAAGGTAAAGGATCACTATAAGTATTTTTTAATCTATTTACTATAGTTTCACAAAGGTCATGAATTGATAAGGCTAGTGGAATATACAGAATACTTCCATGTCACCTCTTATTTACTACAAGTCAGTTCTATATTAAAATATAATATGAGGTTAATAATAATAATAAAATGTAAGTGGCCTATCAATTAAGTAAATATAGTTTTGTAAAAAAATTTGTTATAAAATTTTTTCACATAGCATTAAATCATAGAAATTTTCATCTCCCTAACATGGATATCCGTAATGTATTATTTTTATAGAATTTTTACAGAGGCTATGGAGAAATAATGGAAATATTCAGATAAAAATTTTTTATAGAGATGATAATATTTGTTTAGATGTATAGACTTATAACAAAAAATTATAAGTCTAAACTTTAAATAAATCTATAAAAGGTCAGTTACAGAATCAAATATTCAAAGAATATAGATGTCTGACGAAACTGTTGACAAATTGGTGAACCTATAAGAAGAAATAGTGAAACTATATAGTTTTGTCAGGTCACATGAGTTTTGTCAAGCATCATTTTTAAAGAACATAGATAAATAAATTAGAAAAAGAATTCATTTTCTATACATAATATAAAAATGATTCTGTAACTTTATTATTAGAATAAGAAAGGATCTATCAGTATTAAAACTTTTGAGCAAGTTCTACATATCACACTGGGAATCAGAAATCTAAAATAAATACAAATACATGATTGGCTAAAAATTATTTCCAACCAATCACAGATTTTTCCAGTATGATACTTGAAATTTACTAATCATATTAATTTGAAAAGTGACAAACCACCTTGATGTAATATACAAATATAAAATCTTACTTGTTCATTAAAATAAGCCTCTATTTCATCCCAAAATATATTAAATTTTGTTCCCTTAAATCTATTATTTGTACGCAAATCAAATATAATATTGGGATCTGCTAATATTAATATTAATCGTAATTTCTCATCAACGTCATAACTTATTGCATTAGAAGTTACAGCAGCATTTTCTGTAAGATCAAAATGAAGTATCCATAATACTGCTAGTAGAACTTTCTGAATATAGGAATACTATTTTATAAATATAAAAAATATATATTTTAATATTTTACTAATATTTGAATTCTGTTGTATTATTTTACCTTTTCAAGTATATTTTTTCACATTTGCCGTATAAAATAATGAGGTAATTCTTCATGAATTCTAGCTAACATACGTGCTTTTAATGTTTCATTATTTGACTCTTCATTTTCTGAAATTCTTCAAATGTAATTAATTGTTTCCAAATAATTACTCTGATAATATTTAAAAAGTTCGAATAGCACAAATTAGATACGAATTACTGAAATAATCAAAATCGGGTATATTAAAATTTTTACAAAAAATAACACTAAAAAATTAACCAAATTAATAAAACAAACATAACTACATTCAGTATTGTCAGTATACATGCATTGACAGAGTATGAACAAAGTATAACATGTTTAGAGATGTGCTGTGTACAGTACTATATATACGTACTATACACAAAATTCTTTCTACTAACCAATCAAATTACTAGATATGTACTATACATACTGTATGTGCTGTATGCGAAAAAAATTCAAGTATCATATAAATGGCATATCTTTAAACATATTATATAAAAAAGAAATGCCAATAGCTCAAAATTTTATTATAATAACTTGATTTCGAGCAATAAGGTGTATAAATATCATGAATGTTTATGAACATGGACATGATGTGGACATGGACAAGCCAAAAATCTATGGACATAGTAACATAACAACACTGACTACACTAATAGGTAAAATATACTATAATTAAATTGTAAAGAGCTAATGCATTATTTTAGACAAAAATGCTAACCTATATACATCGATTGAAAATGCAAGTTGCAATTCTTTTATAAATCGGTACCGGTCTATAGTAGTGCTTCTAGATCTGGTTCGGGTCTGGTCTAGTCAAAGTCTGGTCCGAGATCAGACTAGACTCAGACTCTAAATTTTACTAATTTTAGACTTCAGACCAGACTTAGACTCAATTGTGGGTTCGGTCCAGGTCTGGTCTAAAGTCTGCAAACTAGTCTAAGTTCGAAGGTAAAATCAATGTATTCTAAAAAACTATACTATGCTGGTCAAAACACCTTGCTGAAATTTATCTGAATCTTGCAAAAACTAATAATATTTCTGTTAGCAAAGTCGGTGTTTCAGCTGCTTTCATATTTTTCAGTAATCAGATCAATAAGTTACTGACTTTGGCTGATGTCAA